AGGACAACCTGGGCCCCGGCTGCGTAGACGCCCCCAAGCCAGGTGTCTGCCCCGGGACGCCCGCTGAGACGCCCAGCGTGTGCCCCCCAGGGTGCCAGCCCTTAGGGCGGCCCAACGGCTCTAATTCTTAGCCACCAGTGAAAATGAGAGATTTCATAAAATTCACAGTTTTCGATCCCTGCTGGAAGGCTGCAAATAGGGGAGGCGTCGCCTTGACAGATGAGTGGCCGAGGCCACACAGTGCCCTTGTCCAGCTGCTGCCAGCACCTCACTCGGCCTGGCCCACCATTCTTGGTGTCGGGCAGCCTAAGAGGGTGTTTGGGTCCAGGAACCCACACAGCCCATCCGAGACCCTCTCCCCTGGGAATTTGCCTTCACATGGGTGGGGAGGTGTCTAGGAGCTCAGGTGCCCTGAGAACCAAAGCCCTGTCTCTGGGCTCCGCCTACCCAGGGAGCACCTACAGGGGGCACTGAGAGGGTGCTGGAGCCAAGTCCCACCTCATGGCAGGGAGAGGTCAAGAAATCTCTTTATAGCTGATCTACAAAAGGACCTCAGGTTTCAACCAACCTTCACAGCCCACCCAATGTCACATACCCCTCATGTGGTTCTGCCCCCTATTGTCCCTAAGCCTGGCACGGTGCCCATGCAGAACCCAGAGTAGGCCTCAAAGGGGTATCAGCCCTGGCCGGGTAGCTCAGTTGGTTAGAGTGCCATCCTGATAGGCCAATGTTGCAGGTTTGATCCCCAGTCAGGGCACATACAAGAATCAACCAATGAATACATAAATAAGCAGAGCAACAAATCAATCTCTCTCTCTTGCTCTCTCCTCCCCTTCTCTCTCTAAAATCAATCAATAACTTTTTTTAATTAAAAAAAAATGTTTTTAAAGGGGTGTTAGAGCCACACAGGTGGTCTCTCACCTTTGGGCCGAGAGCCCTGGCTGGCCTGTCCTCCAGAGCCTCTTCCCCCTCCCGGATAACCAACAGGGCCACCAACAGGGTGGGCAGCCATCAAACCCCCACCCTGAAGCCTATGGGAGGGGGCTTCCAGCTAGAGGCCAGGGGTCCACTCCCACCCCATCAGCTTCTGAAACTGGAACTAAAAAGAGGCAGGCAGAGCAGCAGGTTATCCCCAAGGGGGCTGTGGAAACCCTTGAGTCAGGCTGCTGCAGGTCCCCCTGAGGAGGCTGGTCTGGCTACCCCTCCCAGCTCTGCCTACCCTCAGATTCAGGCTGCCTCACCTCAGTCTCAGCCCCACCCTACCCTGGGCAGCCCCAGGTGCCTTGACTCACGTCCTGCCACTCAGCCTAATTGCCCCTTCCTGGATGTCATCCTGGAGGCCCTGTGTCCACACCACTTCTTGTATCCCTCCATGACAGCCGGGTTACACTCACCAGGCTGGGAGCTCCCTGGGGAGGGCTCAACCCCAAAGCAGTGGGGGAGAAATGATGAGACAGGAAAAGGTGAGAGAAGAGGCTTAGGGAGGAGTGGGCAGGGCCTCTGGGGTTTAAACCCCACCCCCCACCCCGAGCCCAGACCCCACCTTTTAAGCAAAGGCTGAGCCCAGATTCAGGCGCCACCCACTGCTGGCTGCCCAGACCCCACCCCCCTTCCACCACTCTGGGATATCCATGCAAACACAACTGGCCTCTCCCCTGAAGAAAGCCTGTTGCTGCCCTGTGCCAGGCAAGGAAGCCAATGGCCACAGACCCCACTGGCAGAGGACTCAGGGCTGCAGGTGACCCTGGCGCCTCAAGGCTCTGGATGCAGCCAATACACACAGCGCAGACTCAAGCGATTACTTCCCAGCTTTATTCTCATGTCCAGCTAAGGCTCAGACATAGGCCCAGGTCAAGGTCCCTGGACAACGGTCCTTAGCTCCCGCCTAGATCGGGTAGGGGGCTCTCTTGTCCACTCCCGCCTGCTTCCTTCATCTGGGGGGTCCCCCAGAAACCTCCTCCTCAGCGAAGGCCGCATGGCAAAGCCAGAGCCCTGGGAAGGAGCTGCTCGTGGGGGCCCGCTATCCCCCCTGCTCACATGCTTATCCCTACTCCATCTCAGGGCCCCCGTGCCGGCCATGGAGGACCCAGGGGCCCAGGCCTCCTTGTCCAAGGACCTGCCCCGGAGGCTCTGGCTCCCCAAATTCTTGGGCTGCCTGGGGCCCCCACTAGGACTCCAGCGGCGAGAAGACTGCACTGCCAAACTCCCAGTCCTTGCGGTGTCACTGGCTGAGGGAAGGGGAGAGAGGATGTTTCTCCGGTTCCTGCACCTCGAGGCCTGGAGGGAAAGGCTCAGCTCAGGCCCACTCCCTCGGGGGACTCTCAGCATTGGACGTGGTCCACAGGGCCCTACATCTCCTGCCCACCCTCCACCCCTCTAACCTGCTCTCAGGTATCCCCCTCTCATCCCAGCTGCACCAGCCACCTTGCCAGGCCTCTAAAATGCCAGGCCTTTGCTTCCGCTGTTCCCTCTGCCTGGAATGCTGTTCCCCAGATATGTCAACACAACCAACTCTCACCTCCCAGTCTTTGCTCCAATTTCACCTCCCCTCTGCGGTCTACCTTGAGCACCCCCAATTAAAACTACAACCCACCCACCCAGTGCTTCTGACCTCCCTCACCCTACTTTCCTTTTTCCCCAGAACATTACCACCTCCTAATATTCCAGGAGGTCTGAGCTGCGATGTGCTTGAGTGTAAAATACCAGTGGACTTGAAAGACTTCATATGAAAAATAATATATCTTGTTAATGATTTTTTACATTGACTACATGTTAAAATGCTAATAATTCAGGCTTATTGAGTTAAATAAAATGTTATCAAAATTAAGTTTACCTGTCTTTTTTTACTTTTTCTGATGGGACTACCGGAAAATTTTAAATTATACCTGCAACTCACATCATATTTCTACTGGGCTATTGTAGATCATTATTATTTTTGTGCATATTGTTTACTGTCTGCCTCCTACACCAGAATGTTCCCCATGTATCCCCTGCTAGACATCACCTGGCACTTAGTAAAGGCTCATTGTCCAGCGAGTGAAAGGATGAATGAGCGCCGCAAGGGCCACACACAGGGCAAACACCCGACTCACCCTCGTGGCTGGTGTCTGCTTCATGTTCCGCCAGGGTCTCAACGGAGCCGTCCCATCCCACGCCAGGGCCTGGAGGGACACAAGGCAGCTACTGGGCCACAGGGACCAGGAAAGAGGCGGGCAGGGCTTGTGGGAAGACAGGAGACAGAAGGGAAACTTCCTCTCCCAAGGAGCTGGTGGGTCCACAGGGAGCTGGGGCTAATGGAAGCAGAGACCCTTGTCCCTTACCTTTGCCATGGGAGCTGGGTGCACCCAGGGGGCCCGGACGGCGCTGTCGGAATCGCTGCCGGGGGGTGTCCCCGGGGCTGAATGACTCCGAGCTTCGCCCCACTGGGAATCTGGAGCTGAGTTTCCGCCGCTGCCTGCCCGCCAGAGTCTCATCCCGCAGGGAGAGGGAGCTCTGGGCCCGGCGCATGGGTGCCGGTGAAGGGGACCCTGCAAGAGGCACGGGCATGGAGTATCAGAGTAGTGCAAGGAGGGGCTGAGCAGAGCGGAGGAGCAGCAGGGCAAAGCTGCACAGGGGCAAAGAGAGGAGGTTGCAGAGGTGGGAGGGTCTGGGAGAATGAGGGTGGTGACAGGAGGCTGGACCCTGAGCTGGCTCTGACACTAACTCACTCTGTGACCTTGAGCAAGGCGCTTCCCCTCCCTGGGCCTCGGTTTCCTCGTCTGCTGACTGGAATAAATGACCTCTCACTAAAGTCCCCTGCTGTTCCAAGGTCCTAGGCACCACTGTGGATGGGTAGGACTGGGTGGGTGGCGGCGCAGGCAGGAGGGAGGTGCCAGATGAGAGGGACACAGCAGGGATGCAGAGCAAAGCACCACTGAAAGCATCTGGGGGGCAGGGAGCAGTAGGGAAGGCCATCGGGGAACATGTATGAGCCACACAGGAAGGAAGAGACCAGAGACGTTAGGGTGGGGAATAAAGGACATGGGGTAGGGACCATCCCGGTCACCTGGCCCCCAGACCCACCTGTCCCATCCGCCTCCCTGCCCTCGGAGAGCTCCATCTCTGGGGGGCCCCCCAGGCTCTCGGTGCTGCCAGCCCCAACGGCCCACAGGCGTGGCCCCCCATGGAGGCCCCCCTCCCGCCGGGGTCGCATCAGCCTCTTCACCTTGTCTGCCAGCCAGCTGCCCTTCCTGGGAGCAAGAGGGCACAAGAGGGAGTAAGGCCACAGAGGAAGGGGACAAGAGGGCCATGTTGGGGATGCGAAGGCCAGGGAAAAACCCTCACTGGGCCTGGACCTGAGTTGGGCCAGAGGGAGGACCCCAGCCTAAGGGGTGAAGGAGCCACTCACTTGGTCCGGGGCAGGGGCCCAGGCTCCAGCACGCGATACTGGTCCATGATCTTCTCCACCAGCTTCTGCTTCTCACGGCGCAGGGCGTTGAGCTGGTCCCTGGGGGACGGAGAGAATGGGAGGGACGAGGCAGCATGAGGCCTGGGCAGGAGCAAGGCTTGGGTTTAAGCAGGTACAGCCCTGCCAGTTGCTAGCACACTGACTCACTCCTGTGTGGGGTGACAAACTGCCACTGCCCCAAACCCCTGGGGGTCAGCCCCAGCCCTTTTCCCAGGACCTCCCAGGGCATCTCCCCTAAACAACCAAAGGGCTCTCCAGGACCGGCTCCAGCTCCCGCAGCCCGCTCACAGGTACTCTCGCTGCTCGCGGTGCAGGTGGTCCCGGCTCTCGAGGCTGCGCTCCAGGAGCTCCCGGTTCTCCCGGCTCAGGGCCTGCACCTCGGCCAGCAGCTGCCGGTTCTCCTCTTCCTGGGCGCTCCGCAGCTCTGTCAAGAGCTGTAGGGGGCAAGCGGCAGGACAGGAGGGCCTGATGGGGCTCAGGGTGGCTACTTCCACGCCCTTCCCCCTGTCCTCGTTCCCAGCCCCCTCCAACCCCACTAGGGCCACCCCAACCCTCACACCCCACACCTCGCACTGCGTGGTCAGCCGGCAGGCACTCAGGTCCAGCTGCTGGTTGGACTCGCGCAGCTGCTGGCTCTGCATCTCCAGCTGTGCCCGCTCCAGCTCCAGTCGCGCCAGCCGGCCCCGCAGCTCCCCACGTTCACCCTGCAGCTCACCCCGCTCCCGGGACACCTCTGCCAGCAGCTTCTGAGCCCTGTGGAGGCAAGGACAGCTGCTCTCTGAGGGAACTCACCCCCCAGCCTCCTCATGAGGATTCGAGGAGCTGTGTAAGGTAGAAGCAAAGCAGGACCCCAACAGGGACAGTGAGTCACCACCAACTCACTTCAGAGAGGGAAACACTGAGAACTGGCCCAAGAGGGGCCGGGCTGCGCCAGGGCTGGTACCTGTCGTGCTCGCTCTGTAGCCTCCGCAGCTCCTCCTCCAGGTCCCGCTGCCGATGTCCATCTTGCATCAGGCGCTCACGCTCTGCCAGGAGAGCCAACTCCTGCGCCTCCACGTTGGCCTTCTGGGCCTGCAGCTGCTCGTGCCTGGGATGGACAAGGGCTGAGAGGGCTGCAGGGACCTGGGGTCAGGGCAAGCAGGCAGCTGGACTGTCTGAGCCTGGAGGTCTGCCATCTCCTAAGCACAGGCCGCAGCAAAGCCACCGGGCAGAATGCACCAGGTGCTCACCACTCCCAGTGAGGGCACAGCAGTGGAGGTGGGGCCCTAGGCGGTGCTTCCCTCAGGGAGAGAGGAGCTGGGTGTTTGGGGGAGACTCACCGGCCCTGCAGCTCTCGGTGGGCAAGCTCCAGTGACCGCATGTTGGCCTTGAGGTCTCGGTGCCGGGCCAGCAGCCCCTCTAGCTCAGCCTCCTGCCGCCGCTGTAGCTGGGCCAGGGCCTCATGGTCCCGCAGCAGGGCCTGCTGCTGCCCGCGGGTTTCCTCCTGGGACCTACGCGCTGCCCGCACCTCCTCCTCCAACACCCCCAGCTTCCTGTGCAGCTCCTGGCCCTGCATCTCCAGCACAGACTTATCGGCCTAGGGCAGAGGAGGGAGCAGGGGTCACGGGGTGGAACCCCCGGCCAGAAGGGGAGTAAGGGAAAGGGCAGGGCAGAGGACAGGGAGTGAAAGCTGTGAGGAGGCAGAGGGCTGGGGTAGGGGCAGAATGGAGCCAGAGGCAGAGGCAAATGGGCAAGGGGAGAGGAGAGGCTCGTGGCCTGTGCCAGGCCATGGAAGGGAGGGCAAGAGGCACAAGGCAGAGATGTGACAGATGGGGCTGGGGTGGGCCTGGAAAGTGGTAGGAACTAATGGTTGGCTGCGGAGAAGAGGGCTGGAGACCGAGAAACATGGACACAGGTGTGGGGGTGGGAAGCAGGTAGAACAGGGAAGTGGAAGTGGGCAGGGGTAAGAAGGAGGGGTGCAGAACAAGGTGGCTGGGGTCAGGGGCACAGGCACATGTGACTAGGGAACAGGGAGAGACAGCTGGCTGGGAGCTGAGGCAGGGAAAAGGGGCAGGAAGCAATATAAGGGCAGGGGGTAGTGGTAAGTGGGCAAGGATTGGGTGGGGGACAGGGCACCCAGCCGCCACCTACCTGCAGGCGACTGCTGTGCTCCTGTGCCTGCTGACTCTGCAGCAGCAGCTCCTGGGCACGCCCCTGCAGGCTTCCCAGCTGCCCCTCCAAGAGCTGCAGCTGCCCTTGCAGAGCTGCCTTCTCAGCCACCAGTGTTGCATTCTGCTCAGCAGGGAGGGGAGTTAGTGGCCAGGCCACTTTCCCCCCACAACCTCTGTGCCCACCACCGTTTACCACTCACACTGCGCTCCACCTCAATGAGCCGCCCGTCCTGGGCCTCCATGATCTTGGGCTCAGTGTGCTCCTTGGGCTCCAGCCCCACAGGGCCCTGGCGCAGCTGCAAGGAGAGGCCCTGGGAGGTCACGCAGGGAAGCAGCAGTGCTTGGGAGATGGCACAGGGGCCTGAACAGTGGACCCTTACCCCACAACCCTGCACTCCTGGCTCCCGCAGCTCCATCACTCTTCATTCTGCCCTTGTCGCCTTCTCTTGGTTGCAGCAGGTAACTTGGCCCTGCTGCTCCTCCTGTACATCCTACTCTTCCTCTGGGTCCCAGTTGCAACATCACTTTCTCCAGAAAGCCTCCCCTGACCAACTGCACAGTTGCCAACGAAGCAGTCTGCTGGGTGCCCACTGGCCCCTGGCACTATGTGATGGTCGCCTGTTTTCTTGCCTCTGTCCCTGAGTATGGCAGCTTGGTACTGGGTTCCATCACACCCCAGTGCTGAGCACTGAGCCCATATGCTACAGGGGCATCAGAAATAACGACTGACTTATGACAATGACAACAATAATTGAGCTCACTAGGAGGGGTGGGGGTCCCAAGCAAGAAAGACATAGCAGTCACCTCAAAACAAAGCCATCAGGTTCTGTCCATTTAAGAAATTAGGTGACAAGGCCCCCAGAAGACCACCCAGTATCGGCAGAGTCAGCCTCACTCTCAGTACAGTGCCCCTTCCAATAGGCCCCAAAAGGAGTTACAAGGTGAGCAACTGGCCAAGAATTGAGGAACAAGACCAGAGGGGGCATTGGAGGGATGGGAGCCCATGCACCCTTGCACATCTGCATGGAAAATGGAGGGAGAGATGGGATGAGCCCCCCCTCTCCTGCTCCCAGGGCCTAAGCCTCACCTGTAACAGCTCCTCTTCTAGCTGCAGGGCCCTTGTCTTGAGCTTCATCAGCGCCTCCTCCTTGCTGGTGGCCATAGCCTGCAGCTCAGTTGTCATCCGCTGCTCCAGGCTCTGGTACCTGCAAGAAGGAGCCTTGGCATCTACCCCTCCTCAGGTCTCTGCCTGACACTCTCTGGCCCTCAGGCAACGCCCCCACCTCTGGTGCTGAAACTCTTGCTCCCGCAGAAATTCCTGGCGCTCCAGAGTCGCCTGCTCCAACTCATTCTGTAGACGCTCCAGCCGGGCCCCCAGCTCCTGGCCCCGCACCACAGCCTTCTCTAGCTCCTAAGGGTAGACAGAGCAGGCTCAGGGCCAGAAGAACAGACCATCACCATCACGCAGGGGAGGGACAGAGACAGATGCCTGAGAGTCAGGAGACCTGGTTTTCTGTCCTTGCTCTGTCACCCTAGACAAACATCTGTAACTCTTTGGGCCTCCTCTCTCAGATCTGTAAAATGGGAGCAAAGCCTGGTCACCGGACAGAGTGGGTATGAAAGAACTGGGGATTGTAAGCCTGGCAGGAGTCAGAGTCACCTCTCTGAGTCCATGGTTCCTGATGTGCCTAGTGACAGCTGGACGTGCCCTACGTGCTGGGGCCACACTAGCCATGTAAAGGAAAGAGGGGCTCAGCGGAAGCAGGTCTGGAGAGCGCCCTCAGCCACAGGGAGGCCACAGAAGACAGGAACTTGGTGAACACCAGGCCTAACCACAGTGGGGACTGGGGGTGGGGGGGACAGAGATGCTAGAGCCCAGCCGCCTCTGGCAGTTGGACCACACCATTGCAGAATGGCGCAGGAGGCCCAATTTAAGGTGTGGGCCCCCAGAGGGAGGTAAACCAAACAATTCTGAGGTGTGGGGGCCCTGGCAGGATAAAACCACAGGGAAGGGCCAACTCCGGCCAAGCAGCTTGTCAAATCCTCCCTCTGGAAACCAATTCTACAGGCTTTGCTCTGATTTTCCTGGCTTAGCAACCCCCCACCCTTCAGATCTCCCCCCAGGATCAATGAACTTCCAGACACCCGTGCCCACTGCCTCTCACTGAAAACTACAAGTCCCATGATGCCCTGCTGCTGGTAGGCAAGGGCTGAGGGTAAGAAGAGTGATGCAATGAAGGAGACCAGAACTGGGCCCAGAACCCTGCCCTGCCCTCCTCCAGGCCCTGACCACAGCCATCGGTGCTCCCTCCCTGCACCTCCTGCCCTCCATCCAGCTCAGGAGGCCCATGTGGACAACTTCCTTGGCCTCAGGTTCCCTGATCTCTCCCCCTGGCTGGTCACCTCCCCCTGCGCCACAGCCACTTGTCACCAGGAAGTACTCTGACCAGGAAATCTCACAAAGTTGCCCACGTTGTCCTCAGCCTCTTTCACCCACTCAGTCCTCAGAGCTGGCCCTTTGAGCAGCCAGCCCAGCCTCGCCTTCACCGCCCACCTGCTGGCATCTCCTCTCCACAGCTGCCCCAAGCTCTCTCCATTCGTTATCCCACAGCAGCCTGGGAGGCAGGCCGTTTTTATTCCAGTTTTACAGGTGAGTAAACCAAGACTCAGAGAGGTTAAGTAATTTGCCACAAGCCACACAGCTGATAAGTAGGGGATTCGGGCTATAACCCAGGTCTGCCCGACAGCATCTGTTACATCCTACCCAGTGGACCCCAGAGACAGCCTCTCAGTTTTACCCTCTTACCCGAACCCCCAATTGCCACATTCCCCAGGCCCGTCATGCATAATACCCAACCCTGGGTCAACCTAACAGTGTGGTCCCCACTCCTCTGTACTGGACGAGGTCTCAGAGCCAATTAGCCCTCCTTTCTGAACCTCGGTGTCCTCGTCAGTACAACAGGGATGAAACCAAACTGCTCAGGCACAAGATTCAATTCCTGTCTGCGGCACACCCTCCCACAGCACTGGTCCCCGCTGACCCGAACACCCTTTCCATTGCCTCACTGCCTCCTCCCATTCCCCTGAGGGGCCTTTCCACACACAGCCCTGACCACTCCACTCCAGTGGCTCCCACTGCCTTCACGAAAAAAGCCACAACTCCTTTCCGTGGAAGGAAGATGAAGCCCTGTCCAACAGGAACCCTGCTAAATGAATTCTCACCTCCCTCCACTCCCCACTTCACGCTCCACCCATACAAACTCCCACCTGAACCTCCTCCATGCTCACTGCCATTCTCACCCCTCCTCCAGGAAGCCTTCCCTCATGTGTCCCAGCCTTGAGTCCTACATGCTTCCTGAACCCCCACGGCTCCCTGCACAGTCCTGTTTCCACCCCAGACTGGGAGCACTTCTCCGAGTCTGGGCATGCTGGCTGCCTGGTACAGGGCCTAGTGCCAAGGAGACACCCACAAACATGCCGGAATGAATGAATAAAGGTGTTTCCCGGCCTCCTCTCTCTTCCATCTCCTCTCTCAGTCAAGCCAGACTCACCTGCCACCTGAACCATAAGGCACTGCCTCCTAATTGTTCCAGGCCCCTGCACACCAAAGTGACCCCCCTCAAACCCAGACTCACACAGGTCACCACACCCCTGGGTGGCTCTCCCTGACTGAGGATGGAATACGAACACCTGAAAAGCTAGCCCAACACACCTCTCGGGCCCCTATCCCCCCCTTCCTCTTGGGCTCCTAAAAATCTTTGATACCTTCAAGTCTTTGCACAGGCTGTTCCCTTGGGATGAAATGCCCTTCCCCATCTGGTGAAATCTTGACCATTCCCCAGAACCCTCTCCAAAGCCTCCTTGCCCCAACTCTGTCATTATCAGCTCCCTCTCCCGCAGGCTCCCACAGCACTTTGCTCTTTATAACCAATGTGTCTCGACCAGCATGAACTAGGCTCTTGCACCACCACCTTCTCTGGTCTTCCAGAAGACCACAGCTACGAAGAGTACCCCCATTTTACAAAAGGAGGCACTGGGGTGCAGGTGAGCGACTGCTGTAGTCAGAGAGCCAGGATTTGCACCCAGGCACTCTGGCTCCCTGCCCACACTCTTATCACCTCCACAGCCACCCCATCAAAGGTAGGGGACATCTGCTCCTTTCCCAAGCCAGACATACCTTTGGAAGGCAGAAATGGACTTCGTCTTTTTATCTTCAGTCCCAGCTCAATGCTGGGCTCAGTGGCTGCTGATGGAATGAATAAGCCAAAACTCCAGCCACTGGCCTGGAACCCCATTTCCTGACCCCAAACAAACGTAAGCACCCACATACCTCTTTGAGGGCCTGCCTCTCCCGTCGCTCCCTCTCGGCCTCCTCTACGTGCTGGCGGCTCTCGCTCTCCAGTACTTGCAGCCGCTCCTCTGCGGCCTCAGCCCGGGCCCGGAGCCTGGGTCCCTCGCGCTCCCACTGCCTTCGCTCTCGGCCTGTTGCCGCCAGTGCCTCTGCCAGTGCCTCCCGCTCCCGCGATGCAGCCTCCAGCTCCTGCCTGGCTGCCTCCACGGCCTCCCGCAGTCGGGCCTGCTCCTGGACCTGGGCCTCTGCCTCCCGGTGGGCCTCAGCCTCTGCCCTCCGAGCCTGAGCCAGCTCCTCATACAGGCGAGCAGCCTCCGCTCCTCGGGCCTCCAGCCTCCAAGCCTGGACCTCCAGCTCAGCTCGAAGGGCTTCAGCCTCTCTCCTCAGCAGAGCCACCTCCTCTCTGAGAGCCTCCTGCTCTGGGTAACCACTGGTCAAGATGTCCCCTGGGATTGATCCCTCCAATGCCTGGGCCTCAGGAGCCATTTCCGGCTTCTGGGCTGGGTCCCTGATCATCCCCTCCAGCCTCAGTTCCTGCTTTCTGGCCTCCATTTGTTCCTTGGGTAGGTCCAGCCTCTTGCCTGGGGACTCCTGCTCCTCCAACTGCACATAGAGGCTGGGTTTTGTGGGTCCGGGCTTGCTCTCAGGGACCTCCTGTCTTAGGCCCTGGGCCTTGGGCACTGACTCCCCAGTCTCTCCTCCCAACAATAGCTGGGCCTGAATTTTGATCTCAGGACCCTGAGGTGGGGCCACAGAGGCAGAGTTCTGGAGAGGGGCTCCATGGCCAGCCTTCTTCAGGGACTCCTGTGTCTCTACAGCAGGATCTGACTCTTGGGGCATCAAGTCCGAGGTCTGGGGGGCCATGGGAGCCGTCTGAAGGGGCCTTTCCATCACTTGAGGGTCTGACTCAGATGTCTGGGGACACTCAACTAACCCCTCCAGGGTGGATTCTGATGCTGGGGAAGCCAAGTCCAAGACCTGGGGGTCTTCATCACGGGTTTGGCCAACCAAGCCCTGGGGGCCATGGTCTGAGGTCAGGCGAGTCTGGGGAGCTGCAGCCAGCTCTGGAACCACAGAGTCCTCACTCTGCTCCTCCAGCAGGGGGAGCTGAGGGCACATGAGAGGGATGGTCAAGCCCAGAGGAGGCCACCAGGAACGACCTACTAGGATGGTTGGGGAAGGGGACTCACCTGGCCACCTGGCTGCCCCTGTAACACCTGTAGCAGGGCTTGAAGCTCCTGATTCTCCCGCTCCAGGCTCTGTAGCCGCCTCGCCTCTGCCTCCCTCACTTCATCATGTATCGAGGGGGCCGCTCCTGGCAGGGGTGCTGGGGTGTGTGAGATGAGGTGAGGATCCCTCCCCACCCTTGGTCCTGCCACACTCCCTGGCTCCTCACCTAAACCCCTACACCCCCAGAGACCTGGGGGAAGGGGGTGAAGTCAGAAACCATCCCTACCACAGCTGCAGAAAGACACAGGCAGCCCTCCAGCCCCAGTTCCTCCACTGAGGCACCACTCACCCTCCCCAGGAGAGCCCGGGAGTGGCTCCAGGCTCCGCTGAAGCTCCAGCTCCAGCTCCACGTTCTCCTCTGCCAGCTGGTCCACCTGATGCCGCAGAGAGTCTAGCTCCTGGCCGGGAGGGAAGGGTCAGACAAGCCCTCCCCACCATAACCAGGCCAAGTGTGTGGGCTAGAGGATCACTAAGGAAAACTAGGAGTTGGGGTCATAGGGATCACTAGGGAACCCTGGGGGACCATGGGGGTCACTCTGGCAAGCTCACCGCGTGAGCCTCGCCCAGCCGGGTCCGCAGAAGCAGGTTCTCGCGCTGGGTCTCATGCAGCCGAGCACAACGCTCTTGAGCGGCCTCCAGCTGCTCCTCCAGCAGGGCCTTCGAGGCCTCCAGAGTCCCAGAGAGCGCCCGCTCCTCCTTGGGGGAAGGAGGGTCAGAGAGCCAGTGGTTGGATGCTCCTCTCCTCCCCACCTGACCCCCACACCCATGGGGCTCTCTAGGCCCCACCTCTCCCCTCCTTCACTCAGTCCTCTGCAGGCTCTCTCCAGGTACCACTTCCCTAGCACCTGGCCCCACTCTTCCCCCCAGAAGCTGCCTTCCAAGGTTGCATCCCTCTGGGCCCTATTTATCAGCTCCCCTAGCTAGGGACTCTCTCCAGACACCACC